TTAAAGACTGAAAGTCAAAGGATGGAAAACAATACTTGATGCAATAGGAACCCCAAAAAAGTGAGGGTACCTATTATGTTTGCAGACAATGTGACCCTCAAACCAAGAATGATCAGAAGAGATAAAGAAGGTCATTACATACTGGTTAGGGGAAAACTTCAAGAGGAAGACATAACAATCCTAATTATATATGCACCTAATTCCAGAGCACCCAGTTATATAAAGTAAGTATTAATAGAAATGAAAAACCAAATTAGCAATAACACACTTATAACAGGAGACCTTAACACACCATTGACACCAAGGGACAGATCAACCAGACAGAAAATTAGCAAAGAAGTAACAGAACCAAATCACACCTGTGAGCAAATGGACTTGATAGACATATACAGAGTGTTACATCTAACAACATCAGAATACACATTCTTCTCAGCAGTACATGGACATTCTCTAAAATAGCCCACAGAACATATTTGAATAAATGCAAAAGTGTTGAAATTATCCCATGCATGTTATCAGATCATAGCGCCATGAAACTAGAAATTAATGATAAAAGATACTGCAAATTTCCCACAAGCACATGGAAACTGAATAACACACTCTTGAGTAATCAGTGGGTCACAGGGGAAATTAAAGAAGAAATTAAACAATACCTACAAGCAAATGAAAATACAAATACAACTTGCCAGAATCTGTGGGATGCAATGAAAGCTGTCCTCGGAGGAAAATTTATTGCACTGAGTTCCCACATCAGGAAAACAGAACGACTACAAATAAATAACCTGATGCTACACCTCAAACATCTAGAAAGAGAAGAGCAAGTCAAGCCCAAAGCCAAAAGAAGGGAGGAAATTATAAAAATCAGACCAGAAATTAATGCAATAGAGAATAAGAAAACAATCCAAAGAATCAATGAATCAAAGAGTTGTTTCTTTGAAAGAATAAATAAAACTGATAAGTCCCTAGCCAAACTTATTTTAAAAAGGGAAGAAAAAGCTCAAATTCATGCAATAAGAAATGAAAAAGGCGAAATCACTACAGACTCTGTAGAAATACAGAAGATCATCAACATCTATTTTGAAAACCTCATCTCTCATGGGTTTGATAATACAGAAGAGATGACAGATTCCTGGAAACATATGAAGTACCAAAGCTAGGTCAAAAAGATGTAAAACTGCTGAATAACCCAATTTCTATCAGTGAAATTGACAATGTAATTAAATCCTTACCTACAAAGAAGAGCCTAGGCCCAGACGGATTCACTGTGAAATTCTACAAGAAATACAAAGAAGACTTAAAGCCGACACTCCTCAAACTCTTCAATGAAATTGAAAGGGAAGCAATCCTTCTCAAGTCATTCCTGGAAGCAAACATTACTCTAGTATCAAAACCTAAGAAAGATCCAACTAAAAAAGAGAACGACAGACCAATCTCCCTAATGAACAGATGCAAAAATCCTCAGTAAAATATTGGCAAATAGGATGCAGCAAATCATCAAGAAGATTATATACCATGACCAAGTGGGATTCATCCCTGCATGCAGGGATGGTTCAACATATGTAAATCGATAAATGTAATCCACCATATCAATAAAGCCAAAAGTAAGAATCACATGATCATTTCTATAGATGCAGAAAAAGCTTTTGATAATGTCCAACACTCATTCATGATAAGAACCTTACAGAAAATTGGAATAGATTGTCTTTACCTCAATATGATAAAGGCCATCTATGACAGACCAACAACCAGTATCATATTAAATGGCCAGAAATTGAAGGCCTTTACTTTAAAATCAGGCACAAGACAAGGATATCCCTTGTCACCGCTCCTATTTAATATAGTACTGGAAATACTAGCCAGAGCAATTAGACAAGAGAGAGAAACCAAAGGGGTAAAGATAGAAAAGAAGAAGTTAAATTATCATTATTTGGAGATGACATGATACTCTGCATAGAAGACCCCCCAAAACTCCATTGAAAGACTCCTACATATAATAAATAAGTTCAGCAATGTAGCTGGATACAAAATCAATACTCCAATATCAATAGCATTTCTATACACTAACAACAAAAATCACAGAGAAATAAGAGAAGCCACACCCTTCACACTAGCAACCAAACAAATGAAATATTTAGGAATTATGCTTACGAAAGAAGTGAAAGATCTATATAAGGAAAATTATAATACACTGAAAAAAGAAATTGAAGAGGATCTCAGAAAATGGAAAGACATCCCTTGCTCATGGATAGGAAGCATAATATTGTAAAAATGGCCATTTTCCCAAAACTGTTATACAGATTCAGTGTAATCCAAATAAAAATACCATCAACATACCTCATAGATCTAGAGAAATCATTCCTAAAATTCATCTGCAACTTAGACTAGACCTAGACTAGCAAAGACAGTTCTAAGCAGCAAAGGCAAGGCAGGAGGCATCACAATCTCTGACTTGAAGTTATACTACAAAGCAACCGTAGTAAAATCAACATGGTACTGGAATAAAAACAGAGCTGAAGATCAATGGAATAGATTAGAAGATACAACCACAACTACAAACATACTCAACCACCTTATCTTTGATAAAGGGGCCAAACATGTTCACTGGAAGAATGACAGTCTCTTTAATAAATGGTATTGGAAAAACTGGCTCTCCATATGCTGAAAACTAAGACTAGACCCATGCCTATCACCATGTACTAAATTAAAATCTAAATGGATCAAAGATCTGAATATTAAAACAGAAACACTAAATCTACTAGAAGACAAGTTGGGTAAAAACCTTGAAGACATAGGGGTAGGTAGAGAACTCATGAACAAGAATCAAACCGCATGGGAAATACTTCCCCGAATCAACAACTGGGATCATGTCTTATTAAAAAGTTTCTGCACATCAAAAGAAATCTTTAGCATAGTGAAAAGAAAACCTACAAACTGGGAAACAACCATAGTGAACTGTCCCTCAGACAAAAGACTTCTGCCTAAAACATATAAAGAATTTTTAAAAATCAGGCCCTCAAAATTCAAGGATCCAATCCAAAAATGGGCATCTGAGATGAATACACAATTCTCAGATGAAGAAATACAAATGGCAAATAAATACACGAAAAATTGTTAATCATCATTACTCATTAGAGAAATGCAAATTAAAATCACACCGAGATTTCATCTCACTCCAGAAAGAATGGCCAGGATCAAGAAAACTACCAACAACAAATGCTGGAGAGGCTGTGGGGAAAAAGAAACTCTCCTGCACTGTTGGTGGGAATGTAGACTGATGCAACCATTGTGGAGATCAGTCTGGAGATTTCTCAGAAAGCTGGGATTGGAAGTCCCATTTGTTCCAGCTATTCCACTTCTAGGCATATTCCCAGAAGAACTGAAAGCATCATACCACAGTGATATGTGTGCACTCATGTTTATAGCAGCACAATTTGTAATTGCCAGATTTTGGAAACAACCTAAGTGTCCATCAACTGAGGAATGGATAAAAAAGCTGTGGTATTTTTATACAATGGAGTGCTATTCAGCTATAAAGAATGATCACATTGAGATATTTATAAATGGATGCAGCTTGAGACCATACTCATAAGCGAAATAAATGAAACTCACGTGGTATAAATACCAAATAGTTTCCCTAGTGTAAGAAATGGTAAGAATACATAAAAGTATGTGGTAGTCATGATTCTCCATTATATTGCTTTGAAGCCTTATAATGTTTTCATTCATTAAGTGGAATGGTTTTATTCTGGGTTGTTTGATTTTTATTGTCTCTGATGGTATGAACAGCTATTTTGAAGAAAATAAGACATTATAATAGCTAGTGATGCTTTAATATCATCTTATTTTGAAGTCCCACCAAGCTTATATTTTTCTGTCTCCATTGGTTTTATCATATTGTATCTTATTAGATTTTTTAAAAATTTTATTTAAGGAGAAAAAAAAGCAGAGAAAGGGTACAAGTTATACAGATTTACAGAAAAAAATAAACAGTAGGAAATCACTAGTTAATGGATTACATATTGTCATCTTAGAAATAATTGTTCAAGTCACAAAATTAAAGCTTGTAAAGTGGGCATTCCAACAGTAAGACTGCAAATAATTCTGTTCAATGATCCAACAAAACTCAGTGATATCATTATCTATCTTATAGACTTAAATATACATGCAGTTATATTGTTTAGAGCACTTTCTTTTCCTCTCTTTTGTACAATGACAATTACACATTTTGGGTTTTGTTGCTCCCACTGTTCTTATTACTTTTTTGGAAGGGAGTAAAACCAAATGTGACATAACAGAACAGAGTCAATCAAATCAAAAGGGTGGACATAATAGATAATGTAAAAGCATAATACAAGGTGATCAACAATGGTTACCATAATGCCTCCTGCTATCTCTAATAGAATTGCCTATATCATCAGTTATAATAAAATTGAACAAAACAGTAAAGAAAAAAAACCGACAAAACCAAAACATTGGAGACATTATAAGTCTTCAAAAGTAGATAATAGTCAACGAGAATGGGCGTCATAATGAATCTCACTATCTTCACAGCTGTTGCCTAAACTTTCGAACCTGGTACTATCAAGCAAAACAGAATAGGGGAACATCAGTCAAAAACAAGATGGTGAGAGTAATACAGGGCTTTAAATCAAGATAATGGAAAGTCAAAGTGGGTTACTATAATATATCCTACTATTTTTTATTTCCCCCTTAATTAAAAGGATAAAAATAAAAAAGTAAATAATGAAGTGGAGATTGAGATAAAAGAGGGCATAACAGCAAAACAGCGCAGATCAAAACATAACCATTTAAGCAGAATAGTGTTTCACCACAAGACAATCCTGACATAAAAGCAGTCACCATATTGTCTCTTTCCTTGAAATCTTCAAGCACAATTTCGTATACTGTAGCATCAAACACATCAAAACAATGGATTTTATTATATGTGATAGTATAAACAAAATTTTTTATAGACAAGGAGATAATATAGTAACCATTATTCGTTTTCTGTTAGTTGGTTCTGAATACTCTAATACTTTCATTCTCTTAAATGGTTTTACACTGTCCTTTTATGTTTGATGCTATAGTATATTAAGGTATACTCAAATATTTCAAGGAAAGAGACACTATGGTAGTTACTGTTATATCAGATTATCTTGTGGTGAAACACTGCGTTGCTTAAATTTTTCTGTTCTGACCTGTGTTGTTATGCTCTCTTTTATCTTAATCTTTTTTTAAATAAAAGAAATTACGTGAAACATCTGGAATACACAAATCTATAGAGTAGACCAATGGTTGCCCAGGGCAGGGGCATATGGAGGAGCTGCAATACTAACAGATGTAGTGTCTCATTTTAAAATATGAATTATGCTGAATTAATTGCAATAATGGTTACACAACTGTGTAAATAATACCCTGAAGTTATTAAGTTGTCTATTTTGTGGGGCGGGGGGAGTGGGGGTTACTGGAGATTAATAACGTTTTGTATTGACTGCATATTGATTAATATTCTTGATTTATTAGATTGTTTATTTTTAAAAGAAGCCGTAGTCTCTGGGAATTAGTTTCCTTTAGGAGCTATGGCTGTGTTGATCCATGTGGGTGCATAATCACAGGTATGCGTTTGTTCAACAACATTTGGAAAGAAAATAGACCAGTGGGCAACTCAGGGCAGGGGAGACCAGCTTGAGGGCAAACCACTGCCTGGCAGGCTCCTTCTGCGGCCTGGGGCGGGGAGGGGGACCTCCAGCTCCGGCCTCCCAGCCTCAGTGCCTCGGAAGGCAGGGGCTTCCTGCCCAAACTGCCCTTCTCTCCAGTCAAGGGCTTAAGGGAAGGGATGTGCACCAGCGTGTGGCGAATTCACTCTTTTAGCTTCAAAAATATATTTATATTTACATTTTGCCCATTAAGCAAATGCTGAGGTAGGGGAAGAGAGAAAGAGAACATTATCGATCAAAAACAACCCCAAAGTTCTTACTTTAGGGAAGTGAAGTGTATTCAAAGTGTGATAAAATGCTGAGCGCGGGAGAGAATTGTGGAGGGAGAGAAGGGGGAGTTTTGTCATCTTCACATCGGTGTCATGACTAGACAGTGTGAGCTTAGGCTGAGGACTAGTTCAGAGCCAGGCAGCTAACATTCCTTTAGCAGTATTGGCTCAGTTTTTGTTTTGCTATTTTTGTTGTTGTTTAAAAAGACAAGAGCACAGTCATGAGAATGATTTCATCGAGCTCAGAAACTTAAAGATAAGATTCCATTTCCGTACAGATCTATCAATTAGCTCACAGATCTCACTCTTTGAATAGGAGAAAATAAATTTACCCTTACTACGGAGTGTAATTCCAGCGAGGGTCAGCAGATGGCAGAGAGGAGCTATTTTTTGCATGACTAAAACTGGTTGCCAGTGAAATACATGTTCAAGGAAGTGCTTGAATTTCTTACAGATTGACAAACACAAGGCACAGGCAGGATGTCTTGGTAAGCCACAGCTTATTTTATTCTATAAAAGCAAATAACGGTATCGCTAGTTATGGGGCCAGAAATCATGGGCGTCTTTATGAGTAAGCCCTGGATATTTTTCTAAGTGTGTTGTATTTCTGACATGCCTTTACTGTATGGGAGGAATGAACTAGATTATCAGTCTTAGAGACTTAAGTTTCCCCTCTTAAACGAATGACACCTCTGCGTGATTTGCTATCAAGAGATATTTTTAACTAAGTTTATTTGTCCTGATTGATGTGCTTTGAAAGTTTGTTGTAATTTTTCTTTTTTCTGTCTTTTTATTTCTGAATAAAATGGATTTTAAAAAATGAAAAACAAAACCAAAAATTAAGTTTATTGGTACAATTTAGATATACATAATGATCATATTTATCATAAAGAATTTGTACCTGTACATGATACATTTTGATTCCTCTTTTTTCCCCAATCCCCTCTTTGTCACTCAACCCCTCTTCTCCTTATATAAGAAGTTTTGTTTCCATTTTATGGTTCTTTTTTTTTCTTTTCTCTTCCTTCCTTTCCTCTGTCCCCCTGCCTAGTTCTCTTTTCTTTTGAACAGTTTCTTATTTCACAATACATATTACAATTACACACTTTGGTCCTTACTGACACTTTGGCTTCTCACACCAGAGAAACTGCGATATTTACACGTATGTCCAATTTATTTCATGTATAGATATGGTCTGAAAGTGCATCCATGTACCTAGAAATGTCTCAAATTTATCCTTCTTTATAGCTAATCCTCCCTTGTATAAAAAAATCCCACATTTTAAAACACCATTCCTTAGTTGATGGGCATTTGGGTTGTTTCCAAGATTTAGCTATCACACATTGTGCTTCTGTACACATGGGTGTGCATACATCACTGCATGAGATATTTTTGAGTCAGGAGATGAATATTTAAGTCAAATTTAAAAACATCTTGTTCATTGTTGATTTTAAATGACATTACTCTTTACCTCATCCCCTCTCCATCGTATTCTTTGCGATGAAAATGTGACACGCACCTGTCTGGAGCATCCTGCAGGTGTTCATGTATTGGAATGTTCTCTCTGTTTGGATGCTTTGAGAAGGCGGAGATCAGTCTGACTATGGTGTTAGGAGGTGGGGCAGTGGGAGTGGGTGAGTGTTGCATAGACAAGTTCGTTAGGGCGGAGCTCCCGTGACTGAATTCAAGAGGCTTTTTAAGGAGACAGATGCAAGAAACACAGTCCTGCCCGTCTCTTGCCATGCCACGACCTGGACTGTGTTGCAAGCAGCCACCACACGTGCGGCCCCTCGACCTCGGACCAGAACCGTGAGCAGAAAGAAACCTCTTCTCTCCAGCAAGTATGCTGCTGCTGGTATTTTGTTAGACTAACACAAAAGCGTAGCTGAAAGTCGGTCTCTTTGGAGACGATGCTGCGGTTTAACTCCTGTTTTGATGGGCAGGCTTGTTTCGGTTTCTGCTTAGCGTGGCTCCACTTGGAGTTGTCTTCTGTTTTCTCAGACCGCTGAGACTGTCCTGGAGAGATAGAAGTCGGGTGGAATTGTAGGTTCTGAAAATGATTTCCAGGCCACAGCTAGCTTGGTCAAAAGCCTTGAGTACAAATGTGTGTTCGCAACAAAAGGCAAAAGTTCACAAAACCACATAGGAAACCAAAGAGAAAGGCCTTTGAACTGGTTCCAATCCTATCAGCCTGTGGTTAGTAGCTAGTTGGTCTGGCCTAGAGAAGACTCAATAAGATAGTCAGACCTGATTTAATGCCTCCAGTCTTTAAAGAAAGGCAAATGTATTGTTTCAATGAAACACATAAGGCTAATGTTATCACAATCACAAAAATTGACACGTTCACCTAAAATGAAAGGGTTTTATGGTTTTAAAGTATCCTATTACTATTTGATTTAGTAAATAATCATTTCATTTGTAATGAAACAGTTTTGAGGTTCTAACACAGATGAGAGTCAATGACTGTCATTCATATTTTGAGTAAGAAATATTTTATGGTCGGGCATGATGGTGCATGCCTGGGATCACAAGAGTCAGGAGGCTGAGGCAGGAGGATCACCGTAAGTTCAAGGCCAGCTTGAACTATATAGCAGACCCTATATCCAAGAAACCCAAAAACCAATAAAAAAGAAATATTTTGTTTCCTCAGGGGAATTGAGGCATTGATTTTCAGTGATTTTTATAGTTTGATATATAAAATTTATAGAAGCTATAAAAACCTGCTTCTTTATAGGTATAATGGCTTGATATTGATTATAAAAATAACAAAAAGGTCTCACAAACTGAGTACTTTGAAGACGTGACTTGAATTGAAAGGACAGAGTGAGAGCGAGGCATTCGAGTTAACTAACTTAACTAGATATAAAGATGTTTGAGATAATTAGTCAAATATAAAGCTGAAGCTGTGCTTTTGTCAAATGCTTAGGGACAGAGAGTTTTATCCATTACAATCTTTCATACTGGTTACTTTTGTCAGGGGATAGAGACAATTTTCTTCTTGTTTGGGGTGAGCTTGTGTACTAAGCACTTTGTCCGCATGTGGGGTCCTGTCTGTCTCTGGCCTCCAGAGACACTGTCTAAATACCATGCCTGAAAACTTTGATCACTGCTTCCTTGAATTCTGGAGTTTTCCAGAAGTAGGGCAAACACCTGGCTTGGACTCATACATGGGGGAAAGCAAGCAATCCTTCCGAGCTGTTAAGCCTAGTTATTTTTACTTCTGTCCAGCTTGTGACATATAGTTCTGTTCTGAGATACACTCAGCTAGCATTTCTTGTAAGAATTGGATGTCATTTTTATTCTCATCATCTCCATCACTTTGGACAATCACAATAAGTACCATGGACCAGATGGCTTATAAGCAGTAGAAATGTATCTTTACTCTCTGAGGGCTGGAAATCCAAGATCAGAGCGCCACACTGATGAGAGCCCTCTTCGGAAGTGTAGCTCACCAATTTCTTGTATCCTCACATTGAAGAGAGAGATCCAGAGAGCACTGAGGTCCCCTTTAGAAAGTACTAGTCCCACTCATGAGACCTCCATCTCCTGATATAATTATTTCCCAACAGCTTTCACCTCCTAGTCCCATTGCATAAGGCGTTGGAATTTCAGCGTCTGAATATTCAGTTCATAGCATCCATTTAAGTAGCACACCTGATGTTAATAACTCTTTTAGGAAACTAGACAAGGAGATGGAGACATTTCTGGATTGTTCCATCAAAAACAATCGAAGTCACCAAAAGACCATTATTACTTTTAACATGAACTTTGAGGTTCTTGTCATGTTCCTTGTTCAGAGTCTTTGTGGACACAGTCTGGTGGTGGTGGTGGTGATGGTGGTGGTGGTGGTGGTTAGGGAAGCCAGTCCATCTCTGACTTTAGAAAAAATCAGCATGGTCAGGATATTACTGGATACCCCTGCAATGGGGTAAAGGCAAACTTTGAAAAGCAGACACATTTGCATGTCCAATGTGGGGAACTTTTGCAACTCAGGGTTGTTTCTGGGAAACTGAATTATATAAGTCCATCTGTGCCAGCTGAGATATGGGGAAGAACATAAACAGGAATTGGGCCCTTGGCCAGGTCTGGTGGTTTGCTTGTCTAATGTCCTTCAAGGGGATTTTGAATAACTTCCTTGAGGGAGCTGGGTAGCTGTGCAACCCCAGCAGAAAGGGTCTCTGGGATTGAGAAGTGTATCAACTCTGTAGCAATCATCCTGACACAACTTCCCCTGGTCTTACATGCCAGCAGATGGCCAATAATAAAATAGTCTGTGACTAGCACTGGTTAGTCAACAGCATAACCTGGAACAATGGCTAGCACTTCACAGGGGAAAGTATGCACTGGATGAGCCAATGAAAAAGGCTTTCTGAATAAGAGAGAAGGAAACAGCTTCCACCCCTCAAATCCTCCAGTGCTTTTCAGCTCGTTTTCACTCTTGGGATAGGCTACAACTCTTTGCAGTGACCTGCAAGGTCCCGTGGAAATTGGTCCATAATGCCTCTTACCTTTGTGTTCCTTTTCTTGCCCTCTTTGCTGTTCCTCAGATAAAGCAACCTCAGTTGCACTTCAGGACCATTGTAGATGGCTTTTTGATTGCCAGAATTTCTCTTCCCATAGATCTGGACATGGGAGACTCATTCACTCTGTTTTGATTTGTACCTGTGTCATCTTCTCAAAAAGGTCTTCTTCAGTGGATCAATAAAAAATAGCACCATCTCATACTTACACCAAGCGCCATGTCATGTGTATGATTACCTTGCTTTATTTGCTTGCATAGCATTTGCCACCATGTGATTTACTCTCTCAGAAATAGGGCTTTGTTCTGCTCACTGGTCTACCTGCAGTTCCTAAAACATAGCACTAGGTGATCAATAAATATTGACTAAATAAATAAATAGATAAATGAATAGGTCTTCCAAAAAACATTTTGTCATGATCTAGTTACATTAGGACTAAGACCAAAGTTAGGCGCAAACACTGTGTAGATAATAGAATGTAATCAAGACCAGCACGACTTCAGCCACATGAGGGAGCTCCCAAAATAAGTCACAGGAATCATTACTCTCATTCAGAGGCTGAAAAGATACCTGGTGAACCTTAGCCTGAGTTCTAAAAGAGCTGGGGAAAGTTGATGTCAGAGGAATTTCCATGAACCATCCGTGTTAAATCCCTATGGATGTTGTAATAAATTTCCCATAAACTTGCTGGCTTAAAGCAATAGAAATTGATTCCTTCATTGTTCTGGAGCCTGAGAATACAAAAGCAAGGTGTCGGCAGAGCTGCAGTCTCTCTAGAGCCTCCTCCAATTCCTGCTGGCTATTTGCATTCTCTGGCTGTGGTTAAGTCACTCAAATCACTACCTGTGTCTTTACATAGTCTTTTCCAATACCTCCTCTGCAGCCTCTGTCAAACATTCCTCTTCCCTTTTCTTCTCAGGACACTCATCCCTGGACTTTAGGGCCATATGGATGATACGGGATCATCTCCCCTCCCAAGATCCTTAGGATTCTTTTTCTAAATAATATAACCCTGGTCCTGAATCAACGTTGGCAGTTTTCTGAAGTGGTTGATTTCAAGTAGGAATCTAAAGTGATGTCTTTCTAGGTCTGTTGGCCATTTCAGAACTTTGGAAATGAAATGGTCAATTGATTAAAAGCAACAACTTGCCCCTGGTAAGCCTGCTGCCTTGGGCCTAGAGGAGAAGTCGTGCCCTGAGTGAGCCTGTCCCCATTGTGGCAGGGACAGGAGGCCATACCCCCAGGTTCCACTGCCATCAGTGGAACATCAATGACAGCTGCCCCACACCAGCTGCCACTCCAGGAACCTTGACTTGGAGGAACCCAGGTGCCTAGACCAACCCCCTGCACTGTGGGACGGACAGCCAGTGAGGAAAACACCTGGGATTCAGCAACCTCCTGATCTGGAGGAGCACAGGAAATGTCAAGACAAAAGAGCAGGGTGTGATCGCAGACCGCCAGCCCACCCAGAACAAGCCCAGAAGAAAAGGGCACAGAAGAAATTAGAAGCTACATACCTGAAATCTCTGAAATAATGGCATCTGAAGTAAAGAGACAATTTAGTGCTTATATTGTTTAATTGATTTTGTATGCCTGTGTCTCACCCAGAACAAGTCCAGGAGACACAGGCATAGAGAAAATTAGAAACCACATGCCTAAAATTTCTGAGATGATGGTAACTGAAATAGAAAAACAACTCAGTGCTTGTGCTGTTTGATTGACTTTGCACGCCTGTGTCTGGTGGTTTGAGCATTTACTTAGAGAATAACAATGTGCCATTACAGTAACTATCATTGATTTCCTACTGTCTTGTTTTTGAAATCCAGTATCATTCCCATTTTGTTTTATTGTTTTAGTTTATTTTATTCTCTTTAAAATAAAAAGAAAGATAACCTTCAGTTTTTATGAATTAAAACATGATTAGAGGATAGACATATATTTTGGAGGGAACCACCCTACAACCGTTATACCATTCATATTAAAATTGTTTGATTAGAGCTTATAGATCATATATTTTCCTGGTTTCATTTTGTATAACCCTAAAGAATACAGCCTTCATTCTATGAGTCCCCAATGAAACTATTTAGTGTCAGCCATGCCTAATTTAAAATAATAACCATTTAATGTGGATTTTGTTTTCCTCCCTAGGATCTGCTTATATGTCCAGATGATCTGAAGAGTAGCAACTACCCCAGGAAGGTCTCATACCAGAAAATGGCTCAAATTAAGTCAAGAACCTTCCATTTTGTCATCATCTTCCTGTTAATTTATGAAGTCAAAACCCAAATATCTGATGAAAGTGAATTTTTAGTTGACAGGTCAAAAACAGGTCTCACCCATGTTCCCAAGGATCTATCCCTGAAAACAACAACCTTAGATATATCACAAAATAACATATCTGAGATTCAGTCTTCTGACGTTCTATCACTGTCAAAGCTAAGGGTTTTGATACTTTCTCACAACAGAATCCAGTATCTTGATATCAGTGTTTTCAAATTCAACCAGGAATTGGAACACTTGGACTTGTCTCATAATCAATTGAGGACAATTTCATGCCACCCTATCAGGAACTTCAAGCACTTAGACTTCTCCTTTAATGCGTTTGATGCCCTGCCCATATGCAAAGAGTTTGGCAATCTGTCTCAACTAAAATTTCTAGGACTCAGTGCAACACAGTTACAAAAATCTAGTGTGCAGCCAATTGCTCATTTAAACATCAGTCAAGTTTTGTTGGTTTTAGGAGACTCTTACGGGGCAAAAGTAGAGCCTGATAGTCTTCAAGACCTTAATACAAGGAGTCTGCATGTTGTTTTCCCCACAAAAAAGGAATTCCACTTCATTCTGAATGTTTCAGTCAGCACTGCAGTGAATTTGGAGCTGTCTAATATCAAATGTGTGCTACATGACAATGAGTGTTATTTCCTAGATGTTTTGTTAGAACTGCAAAAGAAACCAAGGCTATCAAGTCTTACCTTAAATAACATTGAAACAACTTGGAGTACTTTGCTTAGTATCATTCAGATTGCTTGGCATTCAAACATGGACAGTTTCTCCATTTCAAATGTGAGACTACAAGGTCAATTTGGCTTCGGGGATTTTGGTGATTCTGATACTTCTCTGAAGGCCTTGTCTATACAGCAAGTTATCAGTGATGTGTTCAGTATTTCACAAAGTATAATCTACAGGACCTTTTCCAATATGAAAATCCAGAATCTCACTGTGTCTGGTACACGTATGCTCCACATGGTTTGTCCGTCCCAAGTTAGCCCATTTTTATATTTGGATTTTTCCAATAATCTCTTAACAGACACAGTTTTTAACAACTGTAAAACCTTAACTGCATTAAAAACACTTAGTTTAAAAATGAATCAATTAAAACAACTTGCAAATATAATTCTAATGACCAAGGAAATGAAGTCTCTACAACAACTGGATATCAGCCAGAATTCTCTAAGGTATGATGAATATGAAAATACTTGCTCTTGGGCTGAAAGTTTATTAAGTTTAAATATGTCTTCAAATACACTTACTGATTCTGTATTCAGATGCTTACCTCCCAAAGTCAAGGTACTTGATCTTCACAACAATAGAATAACGAACATCCCTAAGGATGTCACCTCTCTGGAGTCTTTGCAAGAACTCAATGTTGCTTTCAATTCTTTAGCCGACCTTCCCGGATGTGGCACCTTCCGCAGCCTTTCTGCACTGATCATTGACCATAATTCTATTTCCCATCCAACAACTGATTTCTTCCAAAGCTGCCAGGAGATGAGGTCAGTGAAAGCAGGCAACAACCCATTCCAGTGCACATGTGAGTTAAGAGAATTCATCAAAAATATGGACCAAGTGTCAAGAGAAGTGGTATGGGACTGGCCTGATTCTTACAAGTGTCACTATCCAGAAAGTCATAAGGGAATCCTGCTGAAGGACTTCCACGTGTCTCCACTATCCTGCAACACAACTCTGCTTATCGTTACCATTGTGACCACTGTGCTGGTGTTGGCTGCTAGTGTGACCTTCCTGTGCTGGTATTTCGATCTGCCCTGGTATGTCAGGATGATATGTCAGTGGACCCACACGCGGCGCAGGGCCAGGAACGTCCCCTTAGAGGAGCTCCAGAGAAATCTTCAGTTTCATGCTTTTATTTCATACAGTGGACACGATTCTGCCTGGGTGAAGAATGAATTACTACCAAACCTTGAAAAAGAAAATTTACAGATCTGCCTCCACGAGAGGAATTTTGTTCCTGGCAAAAGCATTGTGGAAAATATCATCACTTGCATTGAGAAGAGTTACAAGTCCATCTTTGTTCTGTCTCCTAACTTTATCCAGAGCGAGTGGTGCCATTACGAACTCTACTTTGCCCATCATAATCTTTTCCATGCAGCTTTTGATAACTTAATTCTGGTTTTACTGGAACCCATTCCACAGTACTCCATTCCTCACAGCTACCACAAGCTCAAAAGTCTCATGGAGCAGAGGACATATTTGAAATGGCCCACAGAGAAGAGCAAACATGCACTTTTTTGGGCAAACCTAAGAGCAGCCATTAATGTTAATCTGAGGAATGAGGTAAAAGAAACAAATGACACATCGAGCTAAAATATTCAGGGGCCAGGGATTTAGCTCAGCAGTATAAGCGGCTGCCTGGCAAGCATGAGGTTGTGAGTTCGATTCCCCAGTACAAAAAAAAAAAATCATATTGTGAGTGGTTTAGTTGGTAAGTTCAACTGTTAGACCCATGGATCACCAATTATATGTTGTAGTAAAAAATTAATGAAATAAGATGATTTTGATTTAAGCAGTTAACTCCAAACACATGAGGGATTCGTCTGTTTCTTTGCTCTAACAAAATTTATTGAATTTATCAGGAAATTAAAAGAAACACTGGTCTCTCTAGTTGATGTGTATTTCTATGTGCTGGGTCAATATTTTAAAAATCCACAGGTTTGGTAGTATATGCCTGTACTCAGCACTCAGGAGGTTGAGGCAGGAAAATCGCCATGAGTTCAAGGCCAGCCTGCACTACACAGTGATACCATGCCCCACAATCCATGACTTGCACACTTTATATTTTATTTATTTTTTATTTTTCTTTGGTGCTGGTGATTGAACTCACTACCTTGTGCTTGCCACACAGGTGCTGTGCCGCTGAGCTATATCCCTGGGTGCAATTTACATATGTTAGCTAGTTTCTGTAAATGTCTGTATTTGTCAATGCCATCTGCGTCCACTTCAGCATGTGCATCTACGTGTTGAAGGTGGCTTATTGCTAATGCTTAAGACTCTCTTCCTGAAGGATCTTTGTCCCAGCTATGAGCCACAAAAGAGCAATTCACTACTGCTGGAGAGTTCTTAGCGGTAGCCATCAACCAATGATAGAAAGAGAACTGATGGATTATTGTTCTAACTTTTTAATCCATTTTTTGAGATAAATCTGTAGTATATGTTGTACTCTCCCTGAGCTCCCTACTAGAATAAAATTCTGGTTATTCCCAGTAGAAAGAACTTGATGAAGTATTTTCTAATGGCATCCTATTTTTTTCTCATGCACTCATTACTTTATGGGTGTTTTCTGTGATCACATAGAAAATAAACTACATGTGATCAAAACCTTGTGTCAGGTGTGTTCCTGGGGAAAACATAAACCAAAATGTTTCAGTTCAGTTCAAATAGAAATCCTGAGCCCATTTTTGTGGCTAGAGAACTTCATGTGATTCTGGTTGTGTAAACTAAGATGCACAGAAATCTTTTTCTTTTGACTCAAAGAAAGAACTGAGCCTTTATCTTTTGATCTAAAGGAAGAAGAACTGAGATGTAGTGCTTCTGAAGAGAGTTTCCCTCTCTTTTGGAAATGTATGAGCAAATTGGTGCAATGGGAAGATTAGGCTATATCATATATTTTCTGTATTTGTCAAATATCCTCTCATCTAGCTTCTTACTTTGGCCCAAATATGGGCAAGTGTAGACTGACAGAATCGTGTCAGAATTGCACATTGTCTGTCTCACTTTATGCCACATGGCTTCACTAATACCACTGCAAAAGGTCCTGGAGGTTTGTTCACCCATCCTGACATGTGCACAGACCTGGAAGTGCACGGGAACCTCTGAAGTGATCCTCTATCACCAATGGTGAGAGCCACTAGATAAGTACTCCTTTCTTTTATTCTTGGTGGAAGAAAGAAGGAGAGAGAGAGAGAGAGAGAGAGAGAGAGAGAGAGAGAGAGAGAGAGAGAGAGAAAGCAAGAAAGCCAGTTTCTCTAGTTTCTTTATTAGTACCTATAAGCACTGAGCTTTTCTCCCTACTGGGGTGAGCAGCTCAGAACTCAATTTGAGTCCCTTTTCCTTCTTCCTTATTTCATCCTTCTCCTTCTTCATCCCTTCCCCTGGGAGCTCTGACATTACTTCCCCAAACAAGAAACCTGCACACAAAACTTGGTCTCAATCTCACATTTGGGGGTGGAGTGTTTGGAAGGAGATCTAAATAACATATGAATCTACTATTAATTTCTTGCCCTAGGGTAGATCAAAGGGTCCTATATATTAATAAATAAATTAATAAAAATGAATGAAACAAGAATATAGAATGGTAGTCCAGAGGTCTTTTAGTTTGGGTGAAAATTTTTCTTAGAAATGGTTGTTATGGTCTGAATTTTAAATGTCCTGCTAGACTACACAGTACAGGTTTTGTGCCAGCCTATGGGATTTGGGGAAATGATGGAATCATGGAGATTTATATTTGCCAAATGGATTAATCCATTAATGAGATCATAATTTGACTGCATTATTAAGAGGTGGTGAAAAGTGGAGGCTCGGTCTAGTTGAGGAGTATGGATGATTTTGGGACTGTGTCTGATCCCCAGCCCTTCTCTATGGCTCTCTCTGACTCCCTCTGTGTCTCTCTCTGTGTTTCTTTGTCTCTGTCTCTGTCTCTCTCTCTCCCCCCTTCCTTCCCCCTGGCTGCCGTGGGGGTGAGGTGCCACTTTACTCCTTCATATCCTTCAACTGTGGTGTTTCTACTTCACCTCAGTCCAAAGCGATGGACCCAGCAAATCATGAGCCGAAATCTTCTTCTCAGTTGTTTATGTCAGATATTTTGCCACAGTGACACAACATTCACACAATGATTTTTCCATTGGGTCTTGAAGGAAGACTTTAACTGGATTTTTCAGGACATGTTGAAGAATGGAAAGACTGTTTTAAACAGAGATGTGAAGACAGCTGAGACCAGAGTACCAAGCAGTATTCTGGGACTGGTGTTCCAGTCTGACTGGACCATGGGTTTATGAAAAACTGCATTAGGAGGTGAGAGCAGAAAATTATATTAAGATATTGTCAAGGATCTTAAAAATCAAGCTATGGATTTGGAACTTGAGGATATAGGAAACTAAATTTCTATGGTGGGAAGCAAATTTAAACTCTGAAATGTATACTAAAAAATGAAATGTGGGGCTGGGAATTTAGCTCAGCGGCATAAGCACCTGCATTGCAAGCAGGCAGTCGTGAGTTCGATCCCCAGTACTGATAAAAAAGAAAAAGACAAAAAAAAAAAAGTGAAATGCATGCTCTGAAAGACACAAAATCTCTTATTTTGTCATGGATTTGCAACAGTTATTATAGACTGGATTTTCCCATTTTCTCTAGGATGAACACACTTCCTGTGCTGAACTTCAAGATTTCACAATAGAGTTTTGATTGTCAAGAAAGCAGTTATTTCAGGGACTACTTCAGAAAGTGCTATGAAGGGGTAGCATAGACAACTGGCCGTAGAGGCTAGCAGGACAATATCAAGATGTGGCTCCTTTTGAGTGGGGGTGGGAAGACTGAAGAGTCTATGCTGGAAAGCTGAAGAGTCTTTCCTGGAAGCCAGGAGACAACGTCCAAACCAAAGGTTAAGACTGGAGCTTCTCCAAAGAATGGAATTCACCCAACCTTCCTCCTTCCCTTTTATGCCTCCAGGTGATGAGCCAACCTAGGGTGGGTCTTCTATATCCTTGGGTACAGAGTTGCTAAACCCATTTAGGTAACCTTCTAAATGTCTAAAGTTGAAGCAATCATTCAACAACTACAAAAAGAATCTCAGAAGAGAGGCACAAAGTCACTTAGAGCTTACTTAACTCAAGATTTTGAGAAGTTCGGTCACTTCTACATACAAACAGTTGATCTCATAAGTAGTCTTTTAGGAGACTGCTAAGAGTTTGAAATTGTACTGTTGGCTTTTTGCTGGAAAAGTCAGGTCAAAGTATGCATAAGTATAGAGTAATGAAAATAAAGAAGATTTCATAGTTATACGAGGAGCGTTACAGAGGGAGCAAAGATAGTGGATAGATAACAGCTGGCTACAGAGATAGTCAACTTAGAATTCAACATAATATAGCATGGGGAGCCCCGAACAGAGGGAGATGAATTCTCTCATCCCAAGAAGAAACTAAGGTGAGAAGAACCAATCAAACATATAGTCCTGGTGCTATTATTGGAACAGCTAAAGGTTCAGTGCTCCTACCACAGCAGGCAACTTGGTGAGCTGTCTGAGGTTCTGCCACTTCAACCCACTAGAGGTACAGTCACATTGAGGTTGGGGGTCAGCCAGCTGAATGGAGAGCTGAGCTGGTGGGGAACCTGCACCAACCTGTGGTGAGTGACAGGAGTGGAGCCATTCCACAGAAAGGGGGGTTCCAGAAAATGGCATTATGGGACCAGGCAGGACTGGCAAGTCTAAGAGGCAGCAGTGACTTCAGTCAGTTGTTCCCTTCCTGAATGAGATTGGTGGAGTGAGATAGGCCTGGGTCACGTGAGTTGGCTGAAACCTAATAGGTTATCTGAAATCAATTCCCTACAGCAGCAGAACACACTAATGCAGTGAAGCCTCAGAAGTTTGACTGACCCGGAGGGGAGATGGCGCATAGTGATACAGTGTAGGCCTCTGCAGCTTGACTGATTTGAAGGGGAGGAGCCAGCATACACTGCGCCTGTCTGCAACTCACTAGCACACTGCAATGGGAAGGGTCACCTAGCCAGTGTGCTTCAGAAGAATTGTAACCGACAAAGAAAGAAACTGAGGCCTCCTGGAAGAAACAAAAAAGATGGGAAGAGGAAGCAACAAGAAAAAGTCCCCAGGTCCCAACCCTGAGAACATTGATCCACGACAGGTAAATACAAAGGAGAATGAGAACAGCAAACATGCAATATCAGACATGGCACCAGTGGACATAAAGAGATATCTTCGCGACCTCATAGATGAGTTCAAAAGTGAAATATTTAGCCAAGTAAAGCAAGATATAAGAAGATTAATAAAACAGATGCTAAGTAGCCCTCAAGCAGACAGAGAAGAAGACAGCAACTCAAACAAAGGAGAGAACCATTTGATGAAAAATATAAAGAAAATATACAATACATGAAGCAGATTCAAAGAGATTACCAGGAAATTAAAAACCCTATGGAAAGGTGGCAAATCTGCTTGAAAGAAACTAAGGATAGATTATCCAAACTGGAGGGCAGTTTTGCAATGTGGGATTATGAAAGGAAAAACTTTTTAAAAATAACAAGGAAACAAGCAGTAACAATACAAAGGCTAGAAGATAACAAGAGGATCTACAACTTGAGAATAAAGAATGTGAATGAAGAAGCTGGGGTACAAACAAAGGAACTACAAAGGCTATTCACAGAAATAATTAAGGAAAACTTCCCAAACATAGGAAAAGGAAATGATATGCAGATGTATGAGGCATACAGAACTCCAGCCACCTACAACCAAATCAGAGCTACACCCAGGCATATAATAATCAAGATCCCAGAAATTCAATATAAGAACAGAATATTAAAAGCTGTTAGAGACAAGAAATAGGTTATCTAACCTATAAAGGAAGGCCCATCAGAATAACAGCAGACTTCTTGACACAAACCATCAAGTCAAGAAGAGCCTGGAGCAAAATATTCCAAGCCCTGAAAGAAAATAACCTCCATTCCAGATGATATACCCTGATAAACTGTCTCTAGAAATTAATGGAGAAACAAGATGCTTCCAAGACAAAGAAGAACTTGAGAAATTCACAACCACCATTCCAACTCTACAGAGAATACTGCAGGGCATTCTAGAGAGAGAGAAAAGTACTAGGATTCCAGAACTGTGGCAGAGAGGCCTCAATGAATAGAGCAGAAAACAGAATGAGGAAGATAAGTGGACAACTGATGGCAAAAAAAGAGCATAACAGAAATGAGGCAGAGAAGGTTGGTTATCATCTCTAATATAGATGGCCTTGATACACTAAAGTAAATAAAAAAGAACCACTCATGGAGCATATCAGAAGGCAAGGTCCACCAAGATGCTATTTATAGGAAATATAATTAACATGAAAAAGAGTACATGGACTGAAAATCAAATATGAGAAAACAATGCTCTATGTGACAGAGAACCAGAGAGTAATAGGGGCAACTAGACCAGTATTTGTGGATAGGTTGAAAAGACAGGCTTTAATAGGTAAAGGAATACAATTACAGATCAAGTCCAGGAGAGAGAAGGTTTGGAACCACTTAGGTAAATAGCAGGTTGCCCCCACAATTTAAAACCAAGAGTCTTGGTCAGACCCAAAAATACACAGTGTACCCTGGGGAAGTGAAAGGGGAGGGAGAGTCTTAAAAAAGATGGCAGAAGATACTGTTAATAGTGTATCAGGATTTAAAACCCACATTACTCCCACCACTCTGCTTAGATTCTTTTATTCTTTTTTTTGATAGATTTTATTCTGTCTCAGTTTATCTACTTGCATTAGATTTGAGGGCACAGACAGCTATTCTAAAGACATCAGTATATAGGACAATAATCATCTTTAATTTCCTTTTATCTTAATCTGGATCCCTGTATGACTTATACTGTTTTATCATGACTGATCTTAGTTAAATCTGGTTTGTTTGATTGCTGTTTGGTATCGACAGATTTTATTCAAAATTGATATGATTGATAGTATCAAGTCTGAGAGTATAGGCAACTACACTGAAGACAACAAGACTGTACGATACACATTCTGGTTTGATAACTGCCTGTTTTTGAAGTTTATACTATATATAAAGTTGTGTTTTCATTAATACTGTTATGTACTGATATATTCAATTATACTATGTCTGATGATATAGCCAATTCTATTGAAGATAACAAGAGACAACACAGGAACTATGGTAGAACTCCTTGTACAACCATCTTATATGTCTTTTTCGTTTTATGTGTTTATAGGAATATGTTTTGTTTTGTCTTGCTTTGTTTTGTTTCTCCACTATTGAAAGGATAGAAATGCCTGTTAAGACTCATGCATGTGTAGATCTATAAACAGTTTATGAGAACTGATCTTATGACACATGATGAAATGAACAGATTCTTTGAAGAAAAAGAGACACTAAATTACCCAGTGCTGATCCTGGAGTGTCATAATGTGAAACCCAGCAATAGTACTATTTTTTGTTCAGAGTAATATTAGCCTGCTTAGGTTTGTTCAATCTCAACATAATTGAAGATATAGATAACTGCATGTATGTTTAAGTGTATAGGATTGATAACCATATTTCTAAGTTTTTGTTGGATAGTTGAACAGAACTGGTTGCAGTCTGTTTGAATCCCTTTATAGGCTCCACTGTAGTATCTTGAATAACTGTTTGTAAGAGGATAATCTGTAATCATCAACTAGTGATTTCTTATTGTTTATTTTTTATTTGAAAGTATGTATTATTTCTACCTGTTTTCTGTTTTGTTTAGCCTTTCTTTAAATAAAAATTTTTTAAAAGATACTACAGTACTCAGTGCTGATTCCCGAGTGTCATGATGTGAAATCCAGCAATACTATTTTTCTTTGTTCAGAATGACTTTAGCCTACTTTAGTTTGTTTA